CTGATATGTGTTTTAAATCCCCGAGAATGACATCATAGGAACGATCTTACTGATGTGCATCCACCAATTACCTGCTTTGTGATGATGGTGAAAGATTCTGCAACCGGTAGGTCCAAATGAGATCTTCAAATAAAATTTCGGGGTTGCAATATTTTTGGAAAATCTATCGCCTACTTTTGGGTTCTATTGATAAACACCTTTTTGGGGGGGCTTATTAACCATTTAACCGACTGACACTTGTGGGTCCCTAAACAACTGTACATGTAACATTGGGACCATGACGTAAATGTTGTGGGTACCAGGGGCAGACTGACCATTTGGAAACTCGGGCACTGCCCGAGGGCCCGGGGTCAGTAGGGGGCCCCATGAGATGCCCCTGGTACCTTTTTCATAGGTTTTTTTGAGTTTGGGCAAGGACACAGGGGCCCCATGATCCTCTATTGCCCGGGGGCCCCATGAGTTGTCAGTCCGCCCCTGGTGGGTACCTTTGCTCTAGGCTGGTATCCAAAAATGTAGCATTATATTCCTGATAATGCAGAAAATGTACTAAAGACCCATTGAACAGAAGAAAAGATCAATGTCCTGGGTGGAACAATTGGTTCCGCAATCTTCTACCTCACTTACACCTTAACCTCCGTCTCACAATGAACTATAGATTCTGTTCTCGAACTTTCCCAGCGTATTACACACATGCCCATCCTGTCCCTGCTCATGAAACACCCAATCCCTGCACAGTCAGGCTTAAATCCCAACAAGCAAAACTAAATTTTAATGTAGGAAAGTGTTAGATCTACCTAGCCTATATTGAATATAGAGAACAATCCACAATTTCAGTCCCTGTGCCACCAGATTAATACGGGAGACGCACCAAAAATCTGATGGTGGTTCATTTTTTTTTCCTGTGACTCCATTGGGTTTAAATTTCCAGCAAGGGACAAGAAATGAAGGGCAATCTTCTCAAAGGTGACATAGATGACAACAGAAACCTGCAAACGTTCTACCCCTTTACACTCTCTTCTAAACTTCAGAGTGTTGGTTTTATGCTGGCAATGCACCCGTATTAACGTAGCTCAGCAAAATGTACCGATAATTATGTAGTGTGCGGGTATAAGTGATGGAATGGACTGCTCAGGCAAAGGTATTCGTAAATGTTGCTAAGAATTATCTGACCAGTCACTGGCCAGCATGGTGAAGAGGGAACGGTAATGGGTCCCGCGCACAGCCCTCAGATCCCATTGCAGCCATGGATAAGGTTTTGTAGTCTTTGTTCATTCAGATCAATGATGTCATGCCACATAAAAGGGGGTGTTGTGTTGTTTTTTCTACTTCACCTACATGAAAGAAAACCTCTCAGAAAAGAGAATATTAAAAAAGTAGAAGGCATATCATACACGGGATAAAAATCCCAAAGGATATCAACCTTTAATAACTTTAGGAAGAACTCCAGTCAGGATACGTCTTCACCTAAATTTTGGCAAGAGAAGGTACACCCCTTTACGTTTTGATCTAGGGCAGCTTCACAATCCTGAACTTGCATATGCAACTTGAGGGTTCAAATGAAGATCCCACAGCGGGAGCTTGTGCATAGCTCCACATTGTTTATTCTAAAAGAGAACCTGTACTGATGGAGTTTCGTCGGTTGCCGTTGAGGACCTCTCCTTCTGGATATCACAGTTGCCGGAGAGTCAAGGCCATCCAAAAACGTCTTTACTCTCTGGCGAACTTGCCTTGAACATGCATTCAGTTCAGGATTCCTGGATTTACTCTTTGCATATTTTTTTTTTTCTGAGTCAAATTACTGGAGAAGGTCCAGCATGTTCAGAAGAAGGCCAGCAGCAGAAACAGACTCCATATTTAGATTGCTACAGGTTCCCCTCGACATTTAATACAATAATTTCTAAAGCTCAAACCATGAGATTACCAAACTTGTATGGAAATATCGATTGGTGGTGTTCGTCCTGATTGGAGTTCTCCTTATGTCACCACATCCAACACAACTGATCTCCTACATAGATTCAGCAATCCACATCCACCACACTCTCACCATATGCCATTCTCTTCTAGAATACTGTTTAGGTATATGCAACGCTACTCCATTTTCTGTTAAACCACACGAGGCCCAAACCAAAAAGGAAAAGGTCTGTGTTGCCCATAGAAATCTGATTATTTTTCTAGATCAGCTTGGAAAACGAAACCGACCTTCTCTTCAGTTGCTATGGCCAACACAAAGGAGAGAATTTTTTTTTTTTACCAGCTAACCATTGAGCTCCCTTTCCCAAACCTTCATAGATGCCAAGAAAAGGTTAAGAAAAGGTAGCAAATTCGAGTATAAATTCTAAAAAAAAAAAAAAAAAGATACAATGTTTGATGGTACCGACTGATACCCCGACTGAAAAGTCCTTATTCTACGTCCCAATGGATGAAGAAAAAACACAATTAAGATAAATAAGTCCACCTCCAATGCTGTGATACCCTAATCTGACCCGAATATGGGTCTCTTTTGGGGTTCCGTAAATAAGGACGGTGCCACCAGAACCATGCTGCCCATAGTAACCAATTGTCTTCCAACCTTTCGGCCCGAACTAGCAGCAAGAAAGGAAGAAGTGGGTTGTTGGTTGCTAGGGGGAGCACATTTTCGCCCTGAATATAGAGGTCCACCCTCTGAAGTGGAGGGTTCCTTGAAGCCTTGAAACCCTGGAGAGCATCTAATATTTGTTGCTGATTGAACCCCCTGACCTATATATATGTATTATTCCCAACATTGGTAAGGTATCAGGCAGTTTCTTAAACAAATGATCTTAATATCAAGTCCAAAACAGGCCCTGCGGTAATAACCCATACCATATGGGTATGAGGATCGCCGACCAGCATGAAGCGTCTGATACTCCATACGGAACCCTTCCGGAGATGCCGCGTCAATAGCGGCAAACTGTTTTTCGGGCAAGGCTGCCTTCCATCGCTTGCTGGCCAGACTCAATCTTCAGGCACGGTAATCCTTGGTATAGGCAATGTAGACGGCAAGACGTTCCGAGGCAACGGCAGCGGCTGCCATGTTCCTCGGTAAGGAGAGTTTTCTTGGTTCAGATCAGCTCTTGCGCGTTTTGCTCACTTTTTTTTTTTGCACCCAGAAACCTTTGGAATATTATACATATTTGAAGCAGCAAAATAAAGATCTAAATCCACGACTGATTGTCTCCAATACAAGTTCCATAAAGTTTTTTTTTTTTTGTATCTTCTCCTTCATATATATATATATGTATATGCATACAGTTGTGGCCAAAATTATTCAACCCCCAATGCTGTAAAGGGGTTTAGGGACTATAGTGTACATTTGGAATTGTATTCAGAATCAAATCCTACAAGGACGTTGTAACTACCCAAATGCAACTAAAATGACATCAATTGTTTATGTAATACAGTAGTAAATGGTTCTTATGTGGTTTCTTCATTGCCACAATTATTCAACCCCTTAAAGACTACCACTCTGAAGAACAGAGGTTCATACAGGTGCTTTCCATCAGGTATTGAAAACACCTGTGGATGTCACCGAGCAGCAATCAAGCATAATAAGCACCAATTAGGCAGCTTTAAAATGACTGTGATACTCAGCTCCTTCTAGACATTTACTGGTGTGGTTACAAACATGGTGAAGGCAAGAGAATGGTCCAGGAAGACAAGAGAAGAGGTGATTTTCTCTTCACAGGAAGGGCAATGGCTATAAGAAGATTGCAAAGATGTTAAACATACCAAGAGACACCTTAGGAAGCATCATTCGCAAATTCAAGGCAAAGGGCACTGTTGAAACGCTACCTGGTCGTGGCAGAAAGAAGATGCTGACTTCGACTGCTGTGCGCTACCTGAAGCGTAGAGTGGAGAGAAGTCCCCGTGTGACTGCTGAGGAACTGAGAAAAGATTTGTCAGATGTGGGTACAGAAGTTTCAGCCCAGACAATAAGACGCACACTGCGTAATGAAGGCCTCCGTGCCAGAACTCCCAGGCGTACCCCCTTGCTGTCTCCAAAGAATAAGAAGAGTCGACTGCAGTATGCCAAAAGCCATGTGGACAAACCACAAAAGTTGTGGGATAGTGTTCTGTGGACTGATGAAACAAAATTAGAACTGTTTGGGCCCATGGATCAACGCTATGTTTGGAGGAGGAAGAACAAGGCCTATGATGAAAAGAACACCTTGCCTACTGTGAAGCATGGTGGAGGGTCAATCATGCTTTGGGGCTGTTTTGCTTCTGCAGGTACAGGGAAGCTTCAGCGTGTGCAAGGTACCATGAATTCTCTTCAGTACCAGGAGATATTGGATGGAAACGTGATGCAGTCCGTCACACACCTGAGGCTTGGGAGACGTTGGACCCTTTCAACAGGACAATGATCCCAAGCATACCTCCAAGTCCACTAGAGCATGGTTGCAGAGGAAAGGCTGGAACATTTTGGAGTGGCCATCGCAGTCACCAGACTTAAATCCGATTGAGAACCTCTGGTGGGACTTAAAGAAAGCAGTTGCAGTGCGCAAGCCTAAGAATGTGACTGAACTGGAGGCCTTTGCCCATGAAGAATGGGCGAAGATACCCGTAGATCGCTGCAAGACACTTGTGTCAAGCTATGCTTCACGTTTAAAAGCTGTTATAACTGTAAAAGGATGCTGTACTAAGTACTAAGATTGAATGTCACTTGGGGGTTGAATAAAACTGATAATGCTGTGAGCACAGAAAAGACATTTGTGGTTATTTCATTATAACTGTTATGTTATATTTGTCTGACCTACAAGTGCCTCTTTAATGTAAATGTAAGCAAGATGACTGAATGATCAAAAGCAATGTCAAACTGGCCAAAACACTCAATTTCAGTGGGGGTTGAATAATTTTGGCCACAACTGTATATATACACACACATACCTTTTATTTTTTTTTTTTATATATATTATATATTTATATTTATCTGCTTCTTAAAATTTTGAAGAAACAATGGTACATTGGTGCAAGGTTTGTCATCAAACGAAGGATGAAAATCCAGCGATGGGGGCCCGGGATGTGGGGGGTGAGGCCGCTGGGCGGGTGGTAGATGGGGTTTTGTTGGCTCGGGGCCTGCTGAGGTGTTGGAGTCCGACTAGGTTTGGGCCTGTACAGGCTGCCCTGCTGACTGCTGTTGCTGTTGGGTATGATACAGTGTTCTGTGTCCTCCAGGTCGTTGTCTGTGTAGTTATAGGCGTGCGCCCGGGATATGCCCTTCTGCTGCCGCCGCCAGGAGTTGTAGTAGGTGGGGTCGCTGATGTAGTGGTTGACGAAGGAATGGGTCTTCTGCTGGTTCTGGTCCACTTCGTATTCGCTGTCGCTGCCCTGTAGCAAAGTAAGGAACCATGTTATTTGGGTTGGGGGGTCAGTGGATGGAGAAATCCAGCCAAAACAAATGCGAAAATCCTTCACCAAAAAACCAACACCCTTTCACTTCCACTCGGGGCCCTGGTATCCCTATCTACATGGAAGAAAAATATATTTGAAATATATTTTAAAAATATTCTTCCCAAATATACTGACATGTATTTAAATACTACAATTTTGGCCATATTAATTATATTTCAATAATTATATATATTATATATATATATATATATATATATATATATATATATATATACACACACACACCATATTTTAAAATGCGTTTTTATTACAACATATATGAAAAACATTTTTAAAAATACATTTTCAAATATACCGTATCTTTAAAAATACAAATCTATATTTTTGGAATGCATTTGCAAATATATGTAAAAAAATATGTTAAAACAGATTTTTTTTTTATATGTTAAAAAAATATGAAGAATATTTTTAAAAATATATATTTTTTTAAATATATTCTTCAGATTCTTTTTTAATATATCAAAAAGCCATTTTAACATATATTTTTTACATATATTTGCAAATGCATTCCAAAAATATAGATTTGTATTTTTAAAGGCTTACAGTATATTTGAAGTGCATTTATAAAAATATTTCTCATATATTTTGTAAGAACGCATTTCAACAAAGTGTGTATATATCTGTGTGTGTGTATATATATATATATATATATATATGTGTGTGTATATATGTACAGTATATATTGAAATATATTGAATATGGCCAAAATTGTAGTATTTCAAATATATTTTTCTCCTGTCGAGAATGGGAGTGAAAGGGTGTACGTTTTTTTTTTTGCATGGTGACCACTGAGAAATATATAATCCAACTGTTTACAAGCATATCCACGTATTTCTACAAATCCAGCCAAAACGCTGCCCCAAGGAGCTTACACTCTAACGCGCCTCCCCCCACCCCCAGTCACCCATCAAGAGTAACATTAAATAATAAACCTCTCCTTATGTATTTGGAATTATTGAGAAGTTTTTACCACCCTCCGTCCGACCGTGTCCTCACAAGGCTGGAGAATAGGTGTTTCTTTAAAGGCTTCTAGAGGAACGAGGAATGCTTCGAATGTTTTGCCAACCTCAAACACGGCAGAGCCGAAGATCACAGCTGTGTTTTCATTGTTTTCAGTCTAAATATTGTTTGATGGCGGCGCCTGGACTAACAGGGGGGGAGATAAAAACCTGACACCTTTTTACCCTGAGCCTGTCACCAGTCAGGTTCACCGCCAATCAAAGGTTGTGTTTTACAAGAGGGGCACCTAATGAGAAGAGAGAGATTGATGGCTGACCTCAGCTTCTGAAAAGGCCAGGTGCCTGGCCAGGGGCGGACTGACCATTTGGAAACTAGGGCACTGCCCGAGGGCCCGGGGTCAGTAGGGGGCCCCATGAGATGCCTCTGGTACCTTTTTCATAGGCTTTTTTGAGTTTGGCCAAGGACACAGGGGACCCATGATCCCCTATTGCCTGGGGGCCCCATGAGTTGTCAGTCCGCCCCTGTGCCTGGCTATCAAACAGAACCTCTAGCTTCAATATGTTCCTAAAGACACCCCACTGGCTGTGTAATGTTCCAGTCCGGGCAGCTAGAACTTTAAGAAGGAATTCAAGAAGAGGCCCCGTGACCGGCCTTGTCTGCATGTTCCCCCTATGCTGAAATGGTTTACCTCCGGGTACTTCAAAGACCTGCTGGTAGGATAATTGGCTCTTGTCTAAATTGGACTTGGTGTGTGTACGTGAGACCTTAGATTGCAAACTCCATGAAGGCAAGAACTGATATGGATGTGCAGAGCTGTGGAAATTGTTGGCACTATATCAATAAATACATTATCAAGACCTACCTGTCCCCACAACAGCTGGGACCCTCCGCAACTTGAGGTTTTGTTGCAGTATGCAAACTTTTTATTTTATTTTGGACCCGGGGGAAGGGTTAGAGCCAATGTCATATTCTTGTCACCTGTGTCCCTTTCAGGGTGGCTTCCTCCTATTTCCTGTCACAACAGGAAGCAATGGGAAATCCCACCAATGGGGACACAAACAATTTTTTTTCGTAGCCGAGCCTCTGTTGTCATAGGCACAAGAATGACCCACAAACAAAAATGTTGCTCTTCTCCAGAATTCAAAATGAGGAAACTGGTTAGGCTTCTCCATGGGGCAGAAGAGGTCCATCACCGAAGGACACGAGCAAAGAAACAGAGGTTCAACGAGTGGGGGTATGATTCTAGGGGGACACCCAGGGATCCAAACACCTGGTGGTACCAGTCTATAACTCAGGGTCTTATAATTGAAAAACAGAAGAGTGAAGGACTTTAGAGGTGCTTAAATACCCTCAGGATGAAGATAATTCTAATATATTGGTTTTCTTAAAAAATAGTTTATTACATATATCAACATATGAAACATACATGTTCTCCCATAGAGTCAAAATGAAAGAGTGAGCCCTTCAGCCTAGTGAGTCCCATAGCCCACTATCCAGATATTAACAGTACCGAACCATAATCAAAAGATTATCAGTATGGCAGAGGTCCAGGATAGTGGAATGATGTATAATCCGACGCGTTTCGCCAGATTGGCTTCTTCAGGGGTTCAGAAAAAAAGGAGATACTATGCCAACAGTAGCTCAGACCGACAAGGCTTGGCTCTAAGAGGATCAGAGGAAGGCAAGACAGGGCAGGGCAAAGCTGGGACCTCCTGGGGGAAGAACCAGGACATATATAGAGGCATGCACACCACACTGCCCAGAGAGGTAGAGGTTCCTATAGCGTAGCTATTCTCCTCCAAGTCATGAGGATAACTGATCTCATAGAGATGCAAAAGCAGGTTAATACAGAGCTTGATGGATCTTAGCCGGATCTTTCAAAAGGTCAATCCGCCCGAAGACCACATTCAGATGAATAGTATCACTCTCTTGGTCTCTCGTAAGCGCCTCTCTACCATATCTCAGCATCCTAGAGTGTAGATCAGGGACTTATATTATCGAGCTTGTGTCCTGTACTGTATAAAGATCGCTTCTCGGCCTTTTGGCTAAGATCAAGTGTAGTATCTGTTCTTATCAGTGTCCAGTGGGGGTGCTCCCGGCCATTCTAGCTTTGCGGGGATGGCTGTTGTATAGTACCCTCACTGGTATGATGGGGGTCTGGAAGGCCAGTATCGGGGGGACAGAAACCGGGGAGCGCCACAAGTTAAGCTGGGGCCCTGGGAGTAATTCCCCTGAGAAAGCTGGAAGGACCCAGTACCTCCTGATTTGGACGGATCTACCTTGGTCTGGCCAGGGGCTGAGGAGGCAGAAAGCCCGCAAACACGGTGCCCCCTGAGTAGTCGCCTCAGGGGTGCTCTGAGTAGCACTTGGGTGTGGGACCCCACGATGTGAATGAGCACATGGTCACCGCGTTTAAAACACTTTTTGCACTGCGCCTCTAGGACCGGGCCTTTTGGCCAAGTCCTGGGCAATTTTTTTGCTACAGGCCTCAGGGTCTGGTCAGTGCACAATTTGGGCACGACCACTTTTTTATTATTTTTATAGATTATTTATTTATTTATTTATTTTTTCTCACCTCATGTTTGTCACTTTTTCTCTTATGTGTGTGTTTTTCTCACAGGATGGAGGGTGTGGGTCCTCGGGCCTGCCCTGAAGTCTAGGGGGAGGATGTGTGGCCTTTTGGTTCCTTCCTCCCCTGTCCCTAGGGGGTTTTCTCTTCGGGAGAGCCCCCTGACCAAGTACTGGGTGTCCGGCTTTGGCTGGACACAAGGAACGGTGGTCCACCAGGCCTTTTGGCCAGGAGGACCAAATGGGAACCTTGTCCCTGTCAGGAGCTTTGTGCCCCGGGGGATCAGGGTAGTGGTCCAACCCCTTCGGGGGTAGGACAAAGCACACCCCTAAGTGCACTTTTTGTGTGGTGTTTTTGCACTTGCACTTTTTTGTGAAACACTTACGGTTTATTCGTTGTAGTTTGCACGTTTGCGGACTTAAAAAAAAAAAAAAAATACTGTATGATAAAGACATTCTGCTCGCCCCAACAATCTGGCTAGCATAATGGAAGGGTGATGGCAGTAAAAGACCAAATGGTCCATCGAGTCTATGAAGACAAGTTTACGTTCTTTTCCTGTAAAGCAGCCTTCACTACATGGTGGACCGCGGTCCGGATCCAGAAGTACTGACAGCCCAGACCAACAGTCAACCACTCTGCTGGGCTAGATCCTCATTACGCTGCAGTCATTGGTTGTTAGGATTGCCAGCATCATAGCACCCAATGATGTCACGTGTGTGCCCTGCCCCCGGCAGCATGCTTTTACTCCCAGCTCCCGCCCTCGCCTGGCTCTAATGGACTCTACTGGTCTATAGTGAGACACTGATGGGGGAATTTGATGTAAGGGGGCACTGTGATTTTGGCAGCTGATATATGGGGGCACTATGATGTGGGAATTTGATATATTGGGGCACCTTGATGGGGGCACCTGATGTAAGGGGGCACCCTGATGGGGACACCTAAAGTAAGGGGGCACCCTGATGGGGGACACCTAATGGGGACACCTGATATGATTGCATACTGATGGGGGAACTACATGTATGGTGACACCTGATGTATGGGGGTACTCTTATGGGAACACCTGATAAAAGGGGGTACTCTGGTGGGGACACCTGATGTAAGGGGGTACTCTGATGGGGATACCTAAAGTAAGGGGGCACCCTGATGGGGGACACCTGATGGGGACACCTGATATGATTGGATACTGATGGGGGAACTACATGTATGGTGACACCTGATGTATGGGGGTACTCTGATGGGAACACCTGACATAAGGGGGTACTCTGGTGGGGACACCTGATAAAAGGGGGTACTCTGGTGGGGACACCTGATAAAAGGGGGTACTCTGGTGGGGACACCTTATGTAAGGGGGTACTCTGGTGGGGATACCTAATAATATAAGGGGGTA